AATGCAGCGGTGAAGAGTTTCGGGGATATGACGTCACCCTGTCTTACACCTCTCTGCAATTGGATAGGTTTCGTACTCTGGTTCTGTACTCGGATAGCCATCGTAGCCCTACTGTACAAGCACTTCAACACTTCGATATACCGACAGTCAACTTGGCACCGCTGAAGGGACTGCAGCACCGCCCAAATTTCGACGGAATCAAAGGCTTTCTCATAGTCCACATACGCCAGACATAGTAGCAAATTGTACTCTTCGGACTTCTGTATAATTTGCCGAAGGGTATGTATGTGGTCTATGGTGCTAAAGCCCTTTCGGAAACCGGCTTGTTCGGGAGGCTGGAAGTCGTCAAGTCTGCGCGCGAGACGATTCGTAATGACTCTCGAAAACAGCACGTAGACGCGGCTCAGAAGGGAAATCGGTCTGTAGTTCTTCAAGAGAGCGTTGTCACCTTTCTTGAAGAACAAGACCACCGCACTTCTGCTCCACGCCTCCGGTGTAATGCCACCATGGAGGACGGAATTAAAGAGCTTCTGAAGGACTTCAAGTACCGGTCTTCCACCCGCTTTCAGAAGCTCCGCTTTAATTTCATCCTCGCCTGGGGCCTTACCGTTTTTAAGGTGCTGGAGAGCCATTCTAATCTCGCTCAGACTGACGTCCGGGATATCTTCGGAATAGTGTCGGATGAGACTCGCTCTTGGATCGTTACTCCCACTTGCGTGTGGCTCCAACGATGACGTGTACAGCTGCCCATAGAACCTCTCAATCTCACTCAAAATCTCAGGTGTCCCGGAAACGATGCTGCCACATTCCGTCTTCAGCTTTGACAGTTGGCTCTTTCTGGCAGACAGATCTCTGGCAAAGACTTTGGAGCCTTGGTTCCGCTCGATCGCTTCTTCAATACGAGCTGTATTGAAGTTGCGTAAGTCCCGCCGCATGCATTTGGAGATCTGTCTGTTCAGATGCCTGTATGCTGTCAAGTCTGTTGAAGAATGTAGCTTCATCTCTCGTCTAACAGCCATGAGATTAAGAGTGTGATCGGAGAGTTTTTGTGTTCTTCTGCGGCGGGTCTTGCAGAACTTAGCTCCGACCGCATGGACAGTTTCCACGAGCTTGTCATTCATATCGTCCATTTCATTGCAGTCTTCTAGGCACTGAAAACGGTTTTGTAACTCGAGCTGAAAGATTTCGGGACTTTGGAACAGAGCACGAGGGGGACGGAGCGTTGACTTCATTAGACGAGACCTCTCCAACTTAACATTTAGGTTCAGTGTGCCTCTAACCATTCGGTGATCGCTACCAGTTTTCACCCTCGCGATCACGGAGACATCACTGAACAGTTGTCGTCTGGTCGTCATAATGAAGTCAATCTCATTTTTTGTCGAACCGTCGGGGCTCGACCAGGTCCACTTCCTGTGGGGCCGCTTCTGGAAGAAAGAGTTCATCATAAAGAGTCCCTCTTTCTCCATGAAGTCGGCCAGCTGCTGGCCCCTTGGGTTCCGTTGCCCTATTCCAAATTTCCCTACTTTCAGCTCACCGTTCTCTCTTGTACCAAGTTTTGCATTGAAGTCTCCCATTAACACCGTATATTGGGTTTTGGAGGAATGCATGGCTCTAGAGATATCCTCATACATTTCCTCCACCTCCCCATCGGGGTGTGCCGAGGTTGGTGCGTAAACCTGTATGACCTTCAGCGAATACCGTTTGGTGATTCTGAGTATAAGGTACGCAACCCTCGTCAACACACTCCCGATCTTTACAACGTTGTTAACGAGAGACTTGTGGACGATAAATCCGACACCTCCTTGGGACAGATGGTCGCCCTCCCGGTGATAGAGCAAGTTGCCGGATTCGAGGATTACCGTGTCCTCCCCCTCTCTTCGGACTTCGGATAATCCTATAATATGCCAGCGCAACTTGTCTATCTCTTCATCCAGCTCCACGATCTTCTCGTCAGTCCTCAGGGTGCGTGCGTTGTACGTTGCCAGGTCGAGTCGACTAAGGTGGCAACCGAACCTCCGCCGGAGATTCTTAGCACCCCCTGCCCCGCCGTTACCATGGTCGCCACCGTAGCCAGGAATAGCGGGGCCGCCTGGGACTGGGGGCCGTCTCTTTGTTACATTCATAGGGGGGTATTTGCCATAGTTGCCACGCTTGGCGAGCGGGTTGGCAACCGCAGTTTTTTTATTGTAATTTTGGCTATTATCAGGAAGATGCTGCTGCCCATCTCCTGCCTGTTTCCCTTTGTCGCCTTTTACGACACCCACGGGAGGATATGGGGTAGTGGTATTCTTGACCGCCACTACACGGCTAAATTTACATGAATAGTCTATTGTAATTAGTAGTTAATAGTTTATAATAATTCTAGATAATAGCGGAAAACACGACTTAGAACCCATAACATGAACACGAAACGCAATTCACACGAAAAAATATACGATTATGGAAAAAAATTACAACTTATCTAAAAAAAACAATCCTTCTTCATTTTTCGAGAATTTGAATTACATCCATTGATGCAACACTTTGTCATGTTGTTTTTGCTCAATTACCCTTTACTAATGAACAAAAAAAGCTCCAAAATAGTCAAAATTCACTGTAACACTGAAAAATAACTCCGAACAAGGCTTAGATGACAGATTGACAGACGAACTACCACAAATGAACGTCATCCTAAAATGGCGTCATGCTTCAAGGTGGCGCTTGGTGAAATTTTGAAAACTGTCAACAGAAAATTGAAGTCTAAGATATGTACTTATCTTTTTTACATTTGAAAATCATGGCGTGTGAGAATGAGATAGATATATTTTTGTGGGCATGATTCATGTTTGCATGATATTTGTATAAAGCGCTTATTACTTTATTCAATTTTTAGTAAATCTAATTAGGAAATTGGAAAGTGTAATCATAGTTAGAACAGTTAGGATCCGATTTAATTAAAGTTGGAGGTCCCGACCGCTCTACTTTCTAAATTGTCTACAATTTAGGACAGTGTAATCGCAACGTTACGATTTAGAACGACCAGTCGGCGCCCGCGCTTCGACCTGAGTGGATGTCTTGGCGGCGCGTGCGACATTTTTTTGCGATGGCGAGTGAAGCGACAGAACTGAGCAGTGGTTCGTGTGGCAGCATGTCCACAAAAAAAGAGGTGTTATTACAAATTATAGACCTGTATAGGGTAAATGCCCTATTTGTATAATAAAAATGATGAAAACTATTTAAAAAAAGCAATGCGTGAAGAGGGCTTTAAGGTGTTCCCAGCATATTCTCATTTATCTATTTTTAATATCCATTGTTCCCACCACGGCTAAGGCAAATCCTATTTTCTGCTGTTTTGATAAATACGGCGCCATCGATCAAACGTGCAACCCCGTCGATACTTCTTTTACGAATGTGCTTAGTCACAATTTAGAATTCAATTTAGTGTAATGTGATCACTAGCTTCCAATTTAGGTTCCTAATTAGATTTTCTAAAAATTGGATAATATAATAAGCGCTTAACCAAAAAATATATATGCAATTTACTGCTTATCCTCTATTTTTCTTATATCTATGAATAACACTGACTTATAGGTATAAATCTATATGTATAATAATGCTATTATGGAGTGTAGAGAGAAGGAGGACCATCTCTATATAAGAAAAGTGTACCTAAAAACGCGTCTAATAAAGGTGGCGCTGCAGTAGCATAGGATAAATTAAAAAAAGCGCCAAAATTAATTAGAATAAGATGGAGAAATAAACAAGGACCGACCAATCCGCTTGGTTTTGTACTACGTAAATAGTTGAGGTTTTGTATACTGGCATTTTACTAACTACTCTAGTCATGAAATTTTTTAAATATTAGAATTCAGCTGACTTCACCCCGTTTAAAATAGCTATATTCATATCGTAGTTTATCAGACTTCGGCGCTATTGTGATAGGGTTTGGAACCTCTATTTTCAGTAAATAGTAGGTCACTTTTTCTACTTTCCCCCCTTATAAGATGGTTCTCCTTGTACTCTACGCTCCATAAATGCTATAAATCCACTGACATCTATATTCTATATATGGACCTTCGAATATACTTATAAGTCTAAGGTTCCATAGTGTCTACTGTATGCTTACACATTCTACTGTCTAAACCATAGATGTGTCAACTCGGAAAAATTACGACTCGAATTAACTCGATTAAAATTTATTTTCACAAATTATTTTTTTATAAATTTGTATTTCTGTCTAGCTCTTTAGTGGTTATCCAAATTACCTAACTTATTATGTAGGATTTAAATAAATATACTTAATATGTATTTTTCGTTTTAATCTTAGTTATAGCAAGTACCTGTATTTAGCAACAAAACTAGCAATAAGCTATTAACAGTTATCACAGTCAAAATATTCTTGAATATAATTTTTATCATATTAAATATATTTATTGTAAGTTAAGTGTTGCATTTGGCGTTAATTTAAAATATGATGTATCTAACAACTTAACCACCCTTTTCGGGTATTACAATAATAGGTATGTGACTTACATAACCATAATTATCATAATTAATCAAAATTATAAAATAAGTTGAATTACGTAACTTAGCTATTATAAAATTCTAAAGAACAAATTGTTTTGGTTGTAGCTAAATACCTACTCTTTGAGACACAAAGCGCGCACACAAGGAATGAATCGCCCTCTTACTCTTTTGCTGGCTTACTTGATCCGTTAATGGACAGCAGCCCAAACTCGAGTTAGGGAGATCCAACAAGAGTTAAGCACAACTCGAGTTAGTAACTCGAGTTAACGAGTTGACCCATCTCTAGTCTAAACTTGCTACATATATATTTATCTATGTTCTAAACTCTATGCTAAACAAGAAAGAAAGAAATTGACAGTGACAGAAATACTACATATTTATTTATCTATGCAGAAATAAAAAAATCTTCTTTATTGTTTTCGTAACGTTTTAAGCTTATTAAATGTAATTGTAGCTGTGTGTTTCAAAAAGGGGTCTTAAACATTACCAGAAAAATGACTTCTATACCTTCATCAACAAAGGATGTTTCGTTTGACGAATTCTATACCGAGGTATAACCTATTTTATAATTTATTACGTATATACTTCTATTATTTATTTACAATATAGCCTTCCTAAAAGTTGTTAGTAATTTAACTACTATATAAGTCCATACTAGTAGTAATGCTTATTCTTAGTTTCTTACTTTGTTAAAGCCTTAGAATACAACGCAACTGTTAAAGAGCTTTAGTTTCGAAACTAATTGGTTCTCTTTCTTAAGAGATGATGATTTTGTTATTTAAAAACGTGTTAAAATGATAAGAATGTTAATTATTTTAAGTATATAATATATTTCCAATTAATTCTATGGCATATGTTTGTGCTGGTTGGCTGTGTTGCTGACTTCGGTAATATCAGGAAGCGGATCTAAGTATTCGCCTTCTTACTTCCCTGAGAAAGCTTTGAACTTTAATTGAATACTAAAGCCTTTATCACCCTGGTTTTGCTCTTTTACCTGAACTGCATCATCTTATAAATCCACCAGTTTCTGTATATTTTGTACACTCTCTGGATCATAGAATAGCACACAGAGTTCTGGCCACTTGACATTGACTTCGCCTAGTTTTGAGCAGCCCCAATTCAAGTTGATTCAGCTTCAAGGTACCATACTCTAAAAACTGTAGCTAGTGCACATTCAAATAAGGCTATAAATTGAAATTGTTAAAACAGATTTCTGAGATCAGGTCAGATTGCCATCTCGCAAGTCAAGATAATGAATGTTTTATAAATTTTATTTAATTTTCTAATATCTTGATTTTGATTCCTAGGATATCATTGCCCTATTATTTATTTATATAGTATTTTTTTTTTCATAGGTGAAAGAAATAGAGAAAAGGGATTCTGTCCTCACTCCAAAACAGCAAATTGAGAGACTTTTACGTCCTGGATCAACATATTTTAATCTTAATCCATTTGAAGTGTTGCAAGTGGAATGTGATGCAACACTTGATGAGATTAAAAGGAAGTATAGAAGACTGTCGATTCTTGTTCACCCAGACAAGAATATGGTAAGTGGAAATTATTTCAAAAAATATTCTAATACTGTCATATGATGTCTATTAATATTTCTTTAAATATTGGAATATATTGCAAAGCTATGTTATGCATAAGCAAATTATTAATACATAGTTAATTGAATAGAAATACGATTTGAACTTTGGTCAAAGTGAATAAAATACAAATTTCCTGTGTTTGAGAAATTTTACAATAGGTATATTAATGTTAATCATTTCTTCTTTTGTATATTTATCTTAAAACTTTTATGCATGTCAGCTTAAAAATAGCAAGTATGTTGAAGCGAAACAAGGTTTCTGTTTTGTAAAATATTGTGTTACTATATCTTTTTTCACTTTACTTGTCAGAAAATAATGTACATAATCTAAGCGTTTTATCATTACACCACTTAACTGAATTATCTCTTTGCCGCTGAGATCCTAGTCATGTAGTTGAGACGGTTACCCCCGTCAATATTTCATTTTTATCCACAGATGGGAACGAAAGCGTACCACAGAGGACCAGTTGCAGCCATTCCATAGGTAAGGTATGATGTGAAACAAATGCATGGATGGATGGAGACGACTACCAAACTGTTTCAGTAACTTAACTGTCACTTATGTACTTGAACATAAATTAATGTGTAAATACTAGTACTACATCAATAGAATAAACTGAAGGGCATATTTTTATTAATTCTTTTTATAGGACCTTACCACCTACTGTATGTTTATAGCCCTATAGACTAATTTAAAAAATATAGACTAGATTCTCTCTCACATTAGTAATTCCAACTATCTTTATGAAATTCTTGGTGGTTATTCTGACAAGTAAATTCTTTTTATTGCTGAATGAAAACTTATTATCAATAGTGTTTCACTATGCTGTGTAATGGTGTAAAACGGTTTTCAATAGTTTGTGTAAGGATTGCTTACTCAAAGTATTAAGATATCTGTCAATCAATGATACAATTAATTACAAAATTCTGTACATATGAAGTTGGTAGCCACGGCTATAGATTATCCTATACATTGTAAAAATAATCAACTAATAAAATTATAATGGCTTCATACTGCAGGGACTTAGAGGTTGGCTGTGAGAGGTGGGTTTGAACCCCTCATGGAACAACTATTTGTAGTGCCTACAAATAATTGTTGCTGGTCTGGATGTGATGTCCAATTTATAGTACAATGCTTCTACAGTAGAGGAAAAATTCTAACTTCTCTTAAAATAAAATTTCCATATTGCAATAACCTTATAGATTTCATGCAATAAATAAAAGGCAAATTATACACTTGGAATAAATAAACCAATTAAAATATATACTAAATAGAAACACTAGAACTTTGAACCTGTATTTTCATTTACAGGATGACTCTGAAAGAGCTCAGCAAGCTTTTGAAATTGTAAACAGATCTTGGAAGATATTGGAAAATGAAGAGACACGGAAGAAATGCTTGGATGTATATCAAGAGGCAAAAGAGCGTACTGACCATATGGTGAGACAAAATATTTTTTTTTTATTAAATGATGAAGATTTTTTAACTTTATATGTTATTGGTAGTTTGATACTCCCTAGTGTATTGACTAAGCGTTTTGATGTAGAAATGCTGGTCCCAGGTCCGATTTCCGTACAGAGCAAGTATTATTGTATGATTTGAAAATACTTACAAATAATTTTTTTGGATTTCGATGTTTTTTCATATGCAGTTTATTATAAAACTATTCAACCATATTTAACCAAAAAGCAGGATTGGCTGATTTAAATCATGATTTTAATAATGATTTAAAATACAATTTAAATCCCTTGATTTTGATTAAAAAAATCATTGATTTAAATCAACATGTATAAATGAATGTAATAGGCCGAAAATGAAATAAAACTGGCTTAAAATAAGGTAAAATTTATAAAAAAATAAACAATAAATTTTATTGTTTTATGTTATTCTTATTATTATACTATAATAGTGTTATAAACTTTGGAAAATCAACAAAGACTGAAGTGGTCTGCAGGTGTCATAAACTTAGTAAAATCAACAAAAGATTTTTCTTTTAGAAGTTCACACTTAAGATATGAACAGTAATTAATACAGTATTAATTATTTTACTCTTAATCAGTCTCATACATATGTATTCATAAACTTTTAATCCTACTATGTCAAAAAGTGTTACCAACTTGTGAATTTTAAAATATACAAAAAATCAAAAAAAGTCAAAAATTTTTCCATCCCTGCAAAAAGAATTTTATATTTCATTACATTTAAGTAGATTGTAATCAACATAATCCAATCAATCAGCAAGCTGAAGTGGCAAAGGACCGGTTGTTCGAAGAACCAACAGAAAAAGGGGATGAAAAGTTCTCCCACCCCACATACCGTATAGTGGCACCCACATACCATACATAGGCTTACTGTTTTTTTATTATTTTATATTGCATATCATGTTTTTTTTAATTTAAAAATGGCATCAAATATTTTTTAAATCATGTTTCAGATTGAGCAAAAGCGTAAAAAATTCAAAAAGGAAGGTCGTTTAGGAGAAGGAATACCAGAAGATGACCCCATAAAGTACAGGCATGCTGTTTATGTCATGACAATGAAGGTATTTTTATTGAATTGAAAACTAAGAGTAATTTTAACATCTTTTTAAAATTCTTGAATAGACTTATTTAACTAGAACCTTTAGCAAAAGTCTTCCTGCTAATTTACTCTTTATTAATTTTTTATTTATTATATGTGATAAATCATTCAAACTCAAGTCAGTTGGGCGAGAGAGAGTGGTGATAATTTTTTTTTTATAGAAATAGTGTGACAAACAAGCACACAGGCCACCTGATGGTAAGTGGTTGCTACGGCCCATAGACATCTACATCTATCCTCATTTGCGACTCAAAATGCGGATGTGTTGTCAGCCTTGACAACTAAGATGGAATGCCTCTTTTCCAGTAAAAAGGGTCTCCGGTTCTCTACACTCACCATACGAAACACAGCAGCATTAAGCTGCTATTTTACGCTGGTATTCTGTGAGAGTGTGGTCCTTCCCCGGTTGAGCCGACCCATTCGTGCTACAACTATATTATAAATATAGCTGCAGCTTGGCTCTACCACGTACACTCTTAATATTATGAAAACGTCTTGCAGTAGCAACTTCATTTCAGTAGTGCACATCATCGCAAGCACAATGTGGTTATGACTATTGGTGTGGTAGGAGGTTTAATTGGTAATGAGTTTAGAAACTCTGTTTTTTATCAACTTTTGTCGAACAGACTAGGTTGTAAGACTCTTTTAATATAATAATTAAGAAGTCTACTAGGCTTACTCAAATATCTATATCACCATGTTATATTAACGAATTTCTTTGTTCCAAGAGAGTGATACCAACCCAAACATACTGAAGTACTGGGGTCGTCTTGAATTTCATTCAAAACTATGTCATCATAGTCCTCTCGGGGTCTTCCACCTAGGTTTCGAACATCAAGTAGTCCCTCCGAATATGCCTGACGTACATCGACGAAAATGCGGTGATCCAGATGACTTTCGGCATTTGGATACCTTTCTTGATAAAGCCTGGCTGCAGAACTAGCGTTACATCCACATTCTCCGTAGATAAGGTGCATGTTCGTATATTCTTCAGCTGAGTAGAGATAAGGCATGATTCGGATTACCCGAAGTATCATAGAAAACGCAAATCACTGGTTTTTATCGGCTGCAGAGTTGCAAAACACAATATTCAGGTTTCACAATCATAAGTCCAGAACGAAGCCAGGTCAGTAAATAAACAAAAATCAAGTCCAAATTCACAAAGCCAAAATCTTTGTACGGAAACCGGAGCAACACAAATACAAAATATGCGCGTTAAACAAAGAACCGTAGTGTCCTGACCAATAAAAGACGAACAACCGACAAGCGCCACCTGTCTCGTTCTAACTCACTTTTTTCATTCAAAAACATCGAAAAAGTCTGTTATTTGCTTGTTGAAAAAATTTAATTATTTTTTGTCGAAGCTCTGTAATATTAGGGAATATGTTTTGAATACACCTTTAGTTCTACTTACTTCCCTATCTTCTGTCTCGCTTGCACTTACATGCAAGTGCAAGAATTAATTATATGCGTCATAGCAACTAAAGCTGAGAACCTAAAACTAAAGATGACGCATAGAATCGTATTGTATTGTAAGTTTGAATGGGTTTTGTTTAATACCAAAATTTGATAAAAAAATGAACTACTTTTTACTTTTCTGTGGATATTAGGTCCGAAATCGACCAAATCAGCGTGAAAACGAATTATTTTTCATTACATTAATCGAACGGACGAATCATTTAAAAAATATATCTTATTGAGTAATTTACACAAAATCTACCCTTTGCGAGAAAAAAAATTATAACACAAAAAATTGAATTAGATGTACCATTACCAAGTATTATACCATTTTGAAATCTACATGAATTGCGCAACTTTTGAATACAGTTACCAGTTCCATGTGGGTACATTTTTTTACAGGGTGAAGGGTCCAACTTTCTCGATAAAACTTTAATGTTACATTTTTACATTTTTTCCAATTTTTATGTATTTATTTCTACTAAACCGTAATAGGTACTGAAAAATGAAATAGTAGGTATAGTAGGCATATCATTAGGCTATACAAAACAGAAAAAAATTAAAATCGGTCCTCATTTGCAGATAATAATTTCGCAAAGGGTGAATTTCTGGAAAAATGTATAAATCACCCTTTATCTTTTAAATCACGCAACTTGGGTATAGGACTTAATTTTTTTTGAACATTCTTTCCATGGTCTACAACCCCCTTTCGTTTGATCGTTACGTTCTGGGACACCTTGTATAAGGAACAACAATGGTCCTAGTATAGACCCCTGCGGCACACCACAGCCAACTTTTTTAGGTTGACTTTCAAATGCTCCAATTTTAACAATTTGATACCTATCATGTAAATATGATTCGAGGATTTTGAGTGCTTTTCCAGCAATCCCTACATTTTTAAGTTTGTTAAGTAGTCATTTGTGGCTTACCGTATCAAAGGCTTTTTTAAGGTCGATAAATATGCCTAAAGCTATTTGCTTTTTTGCCAATACTTTCCCTAATTTTAGTTATTAAATCAATGGTAGCAGTCAATTTGTTAGACTTGGTCGAAAACCATACTGTTGATCTATAACAAAGTTTATTTTGTTTAAATATTCATATAGCCTGAAGTAAATATTTTATTCGAACAATTTAGAGATTACTGGTAAAACCGGTATTGGTCGGTAATTGCTAGGATCAGTCTTATCATAAATTGGTGTTACCTTTACTATCTTTAGGCTTTCTGGAAAGTAGCCATTTTCCAGACACGTGTTAATGCAAGATTTTAGGTTGCCCTTTATTAAGTGTTTAATACAATTCATTGCTTTTATTGAATGGTATGTATTCCCGAACTAGTATTGCTAATTAAATTATGAATAATTGTTGTAATTTCGTGGTGTATACATGGTCTAAAGTTATTAAATTTATTTGTATTACCTTGGGAAATATCAGTTATCATGTTTTGTTTTTGCATTATTTTATCTGCTAGAGAACAACCTATGGGTGAAAATAAATCACTTAACGCGTTACAAACCTTGAATCCGTTAGTTATAATTTTAGAGTCGATATTAAGCTTAGGGAGAGCGCAACTCTTTGAATTTTATTTGTAGCCATACTATTTATTGTAGTCCACACTGTTAACTTTTTTAGATTTGATATTTAAGAAAAAAAATCCGCAACCAACATGAAAGTAGCAGAATTATTATAAGCCTAGCTAACAAATAAAATATATGAACCTTACCAAATCATAAATGTGAAAATTGACCTTAATAGCCACAGTTAGCAGAGTTATAATGGAATTTGCATAGAGTTACCTTTAGACACTTCTATATATTATATAATAATTTTTTTCACCCTTACTAAATTCATCAGCTATTGGTCACATCTGACTTTAATAGTAATGAGATATAAGCATTTACACACGATAGAGAGGGGCTATAATTGGTAATTTTTTGCTTCTGCTGCCAAATTGATTATGTACGATCGTTTACGCTAAATAAAACTATAAATGGAAGGGTATTATACATTACCTCAACACATGACTTTATATATATATATATATATATATATATATATATATATATATATATATATATATATATATATATATATATATATATATATATGTATATATATATGTATATGTATATGTATTATAAACTTTAACAGTGTCAAGGCATTCCAACTAAGTTCTCAGGGGTGACAATGCATTTTCATTTCGATTCTTAATATAGGATATATGTAGATGCCTATGGACCTCAGTATCCACTACCTAGTACCCATCAGCTGGTTTGTTACTCTTACTTTAATAAACAAAAGTCGGAATAGAGTAGATTAGTAACAGCAAATCATGATTATGTACGTCACATTTGTTCTTTTCAGTTGTTTGCGGATATGGAACGCAAGAGGCAACACCTGGAAACGAGAGATATGGAGGAAAGGAAACGAAAGCGTGAAGCGGAAATTGAACAGGAAGAGCAAATGTCTTTAGAGAAAGAATGGGCGAAAAACTTCGAGGTATTCTGATTTAAAAAAATAATGTTACCTACTCCCACAATCCCACATTGAGAATCTCACCTTTATCTGTAGAACATGTTATAATTACATATAGTATGGTTCTATTCCTTCTCATTTTCGATAAAGATTATTGTATTGGCTTTGGCCTATTTGCAGTTCCTTTCTCCATTTCTTGTCGAGACAGAGGATTCCCGTTTTGCAACAGTAGTAGAATTTTTTATAGATTTAGGGTGACAAGTGAGCACACAGCCCTCCTGATGGTAAGTGGATGCTGTGGCCCGTAGACATCTGCATCTATTCTCGATTAAGAAATCAAAATGCAGATGCGTTGTCAACCCTGAGGACTAAGATGGAATGCTTTGTATCTAGCAAAAAGGGTTCTCTACACTCACCATACGAAACACAGCAGCATTGAGCTGCTATTTTACGCTGGTATACTGTGGGCGAGTGGTCCTACTCCCGTCGAGCCGACCCATTCGTGCCACAACCATGACCATGCAGCGTGGCTCTACCATGTAAAAACATATGTAGATAAAAAATATTATAATTTCTTACGTCGGAAAATAGTTCATTCTATTTTTAATTCAAACTGGCGGCTTGCAGTGCGACAGCTTACTGTTAAGCCACTGGACTACTGAGGCGTCAAATATTAGTAATCAAAATTTGTTGATATTAGCTTACCATGTAGTTACGGTGTAAGAATATTCATTATCCCATATCATCCTGTGATTATCGTAAGAGGCGACAGAGGGAAACAAATTAGGTTAAAATTGCGTTTGTCAACCAGCTTGCCGAGCGTGGCACCTATGGCAAATATCCCCCCTATGAGGCAATCTATGAGGGAGACCTATGTTCAGCAGTGGACTATTAATGGCTGTAGCGGTTACGGATATTAGCTTTGCAATATACTAATAATATACGGGCTCAAGTTACAAATCTACAAATAACTTTTTTCATCATTTCGATCTGTAATAGGCCATAGCTGACCTTCGCCTTTTTTCCAACTATAAATCATCCAATACTCTACCGCTACCCTTTCTTGACACCTTTTTTTTGCTTTGGCTCGACCGGGAAGGATAACGCTTTCACATAATACCAGCTTCAAATAGCAGCTTAATGCTAATGCTGTCGTCGCAGCTTAATGCTAAATCGTATGGTGAGTGTAGAAAACCGGAGACTCTTTTTACAGGAAATGAGTCATTCCATCTTAGTTCTCAGGAGTGACAACGCATCTGCATTTTGTTTCTTAATCGACGATAAATATAGATTGTCTATGGACCACATCATCCACTTACCATCTGGTGGACTCTGTGCTCGTTTGTATCTTTTTTTCTTTTTTATTTAAAAACTATTGGTCTAACCAATATAAAGGTTACAAAGGGCGTACTTAATGCCAGTCAACCAATGGCGTAGTGAGAAATTAGTGGCAGGTGGCTTCAGTAACTCAATATAATAAATTTATATAGATACTAGCTATTCCCCGCGACTTCGCCCGCGTGTAATTTAGGGCTTTAATTATATTGCTCAGAACCCTATTTCTTTTTCTCAAACATAAGTAGCCAAAGTTACTCCTTAGAACATCAACTATCTGCCAGTGAAAGTCCCATAGAAATCGGTCCAGCAGTTTCGGAGATTATCCGGAACAAACAGACAGACAGACAGACCGATAGACAAACAGACAAAAATTTTAAACACTGTATTTTTGTTATAAGTACCGTATATACATTCATATGCATTTATTAAAAAGCTGTTATTTTAACATTACAAATAGACACTTCAATTTTATTTATTTGTATAGATAACAATTATTAAAATAAGGCTTATAAATTACACAAATGCATATGAATACAAAGAAATACATAATAATCCATATATAACAATTATCCTTAATACATATATAGATACATACATAATATGTCTGGATAAAGGTAGCAGTATTGGTATTATGCTGACGACATTGTTTTTGAGAGATGTTCCCGGACCAATCTAAAAAAATATATACAAAAATAACCACCTTTATTGAGGTGGTAGGACTCCTTTTGTCTAGGTAGGTACCACCTTCTTACTATATCTGGTGCCAAGCAGCAGTGTATGCATTGTTGTGCTCCGGTCCGAAGAGTATAGAGAGCCAATAGTTACAGGATGTGAGGCATTCCATCTGAATCTTCAGAGGTGACAATGTATGTGTAGTATTCTTTGCTTGAAAATTGTCTGCTGGTGACCACGGAATGCAGGAGCCACTTAAAATCAGTTAGAGTGTAAGTTCATTTGTCATTTCAGTTTTACGAACAAACAACCTGTATATACTACCTAGCCCATCTTGCACCAACACCATGTCATCTACCATGAGGATGCAGTAAATAACAGATTGTACTGCTTGCAGGAATCTCGACAAAACCGTGTGGATAGTTGGAAGAACTTCCAATCGGGCAGCAAAGAAAAGAAAAAGAAAAAAATTATGGGATTCAAACCACCCAAACCAAAACCTGAAAGCAGATAACTTGCATACAATGCATTAATTTTATTTTTCTTTTTAGGATATTCTAGCTTAAAGTACATCTGTCTACATACATTTTCAAACCTGTACAAATTATAAACGAACGGAGTTACAAAAAAAGGATTCAACACACAAAACCTAATTGTTATATGGAAGTGTGATATTAATGGCGTGCTTCATTCAATTTGTTTGTAATTTTGTTTTTATAAGAATTGTTTTTACTATATGAAATAATTAATATTTTGGTATATAAACTCATTTTGATCTGAGTGTTCATTGAATTCTTTTTGTGTAACTACGTTCAAACAGGATGTATACCATAGATTATGCTGTTTAAAACTACTAGTACCTGGGCGACCGAGCTTTGTTCGGCGTTATCAAAGAAAAAATTAGGATATGGAAACCTTACCTATGTGAACTTGGAAAGTAAAACATTATCATAATATATAATGTTATCCAATTCATCAGAAACCTTTTACATTTAAATGTATTTATAATATTTAAACAAGAATTGCTCACTTAATGCTGCTTAGAACTACTATTTTAATTATATGACAGCATTATATGGATCATGAATGTTTCACAGATAATTAAACTATAGTTTCATTACTAAAATTGTAATAAAATAGAAAAAAAATCATTGATGTCTGTTTTGAAAGCTAAAAATGGGTCTGCGTCGATAATTATAAATAAAAAGTTCAGTAGGTGTCAGTGAAGTCGTGTCTTCCTTAATTATTCCAACATTTATCTAAAATTTGTGCTTGTATAGTTTGTATAGATTTGAAAATATTTCTCCTGGTCATTCGATTGTGGTTAGGCCAGCTACCGAATGTTTTAGTATTAAATTTCTTTGTAAGTTTAGTAGCCTAGTGATAATGAGCAGTCTCTGGAGTGAAGTCCTTGTAGTAAGTAAGAGATTATTGTTGACCAATGCCTTTCGTTTACACGATTTTCTTTCTATTCGTAACCATTGTTTTAAAGAGATATTAATGACAAAGTTGAACATCATTCAATGTGATATTATTCATGAAATTTACTACAGATTGAACCGTCTCCGTATTTGTAAATTTCGCTAATATGTTCCATAAATACAAACATAACTACACAAAGTTGTTTTGTTTACTTTGGTACAAAGGTCGTCCTAGAAAAAATTAATTGTATTTAATTTTTCACAAAATTCATTAAAACACAGTTGATTGTGACAAAAATAAATTCATTTACAATAGGTTCCATCCCATCTGGCGACGGTTTTTGTTTTTCACCAGATGATTAGTGACCGCCAATACGGTTTTCGTCGGAGTCGATCAACTGGTGATCTTCTGGTCTACCTGACTCATAGATGGGCGGAGGTAGTAGAGTCCAAGGGGGAGGCGGTGGCCGTTAGTTTGGACATTGCGAAGGTCTTCGATCGGGTTTGGCACAAAGCGCTTCTTTCGAAGCTCCCTTCCTATGGGCTTCCCGAGAAATTGTGCAATTGGATCACCAACTTCCTTGCAGATCGGGGCGTCAAAGTCGTTGTAGACGGTGTACGCTCCGACTACATGCCTATTAACGCTGGTGTTCCACAAGGCGGTGTGCTATCACCAACGCTGTTTCTTCTGCATATCAATGATATGTTGCAAACTGGTAACATTCATTGCTATGCGGATGACAGCACTGGTGATGCTCTATACACCGGCCGTACCAATATTTCTTGGCAAAACGTCGCTGAGTACCGGAACAAACTTTTGTCTGAAATCGAGTTTTTGCTGAACAAAGTCTCGGATTGGGGGCGACTAAATCTAGTCCAGTTTAATCCTCAGAAGACACAAATTTGCGCGTTTACCGCTAAAAAGAACCCCTTTGTCGTATCTCCTCAGTTTCAAGGCACTCCCCTTGTTGCCTCAGCCAGTATCGGAATCCTCGGCGTCGACATATCGAGTGACGTGCAGTTTCGTGGTCACTTGGAAGAGAAGGCCAAATTGGCCTCTAAAAAGCTTGGCGTGCTCAGCAGAGCGGGACAGTATTTCATGCCGGCACACCGCCTGCAACTTTACAAGGCACAGGTTCGGCCCCACATGGAATACTGTTCCCACTCTGGGCAAGGGCTCCCCAGTGCCAGCTCCTACTTGACCGCATCCAGCGCAGAGCGGCTCCAATCGTCGACGACCGAGTCCTTTCCGATCGGCTCGATTCATTGTCACTGCGAAGAGATGTTGCATCCCTTTGCATTTTCTTTTGCATTTACCACGGGGAGTGCTCAGGAATTGTTCGGATTAATCCCAGCCGCCAAATTTCACGAACGCACATCGCGGCAGAACTCCCGATACCATCCACACCATCTGGATGATTGACAGTCCACCACCATGCGATTTAGAAAAAATTTTTCTTCCTCGCACAACTTCCTTGTGGAATCGAATACCATCAGCGATTCTTCCGGACCGATACGACTTAGGGACCTTCAAGAAAAGAGCCTACTCCTTTTTAAAAAGCCGGCAACGCATCTGCAATTTTCCTGGTTCCCCTGGTGTTGCAGTTGTTCATGGGCGGCGGTAGTCAACATCAGGTGAGCCGCATGCTCGTTTGCCCTCTCTCCTATAAAAATAATATCTAATTAAGGGCAAGAAAAATGCAAGGTTTTATGACCTCCTGAGGTGTACGGGCAATAAACCGAAAGAATTTAAAAATTTAGGGAAATAATAGATGAAGTGGTTTATGACAGGGCCCAAATATTATCGATAATGAAAGGATAATAACAATTCATGATAGACTGAAAGCATAAACTAATTCAGAGAAGTAGGATTTGGAATAATAATAATCTTATGGTAGGGCAACGATACCTATGGGCAATGTGGAATATTTAAAAGGAGGAAATAGTAGTTTAGAATTAGTTCATTCTAGAACGGCAGAACAGGCGGTAGATTGCACAGGCCGTTGTATTCTGTTTTTATTTTACTGTTGTGCTACAGTAGTTACTAGGAAGTGTTTGTGATGAGCTACACATTAAGCGAATATGCAGAATATGCATTACTATTGTGGAGTTGCACAGGGCAACGGCCGTAAAGCCGCAAGACTGTAACGGGAACAACTTCAATACCCAGGGGACCGCAACCCGATCGATATCCCGACCATCGTGTTTTCATTAACACGCACAATAATGGCAGGCTACATTCCTGGTCGAGATGGCTTCTAGATGGCTCCCAGGCTGAAGGAACTCCCAGAGCTGATCCGCATCGCAGAGAAATAGTGCTGGAAGAAATACGTCAGGATCCGTCGACGAGTACGAGAACTATGGCTTGTAGACTGAACATTCCAAGATCGTCTATCTAAGACATACTTCATGAATGATACATATCATATTCAACGAGTCCAGGCTTTACAGCCTTTAGATTATCAATGAAGGTTGATTTTTGCCAAACAATGTTGAGAAAAGAGCAGGAGAAAAATTCAAGAAGCTGGAAATAATTTTAAACATATCGTTTTTAAAGGTTTTAACAGTATATTTATTACATAGGAGCTATCAACCACCATTAAAAAGGATTCCTTCCCCGGTACAAATTTATTGCTTAAACAGTATCGATACTGTTTAAAAATATCGATTCAATATATATCGATATATTTTTTCCCTTGCGCATCCCTAGAAGAAAGTAGGAGGCTGTCTCATACTGGCAAGCGTTTGGCGACTCCCAATAAACGAAGTGATGACCTGGGAAGACATGCAGGAAGTAGATTGATACAGGTGATTCCGTGGAAGGGTCGTGAAGGACATTTTGACACGATCACGGCGGATTTCCAAAATTGCTTGTAGTTCATATTCATAAAAAAAATACCACTAAAGTACATTAAAATGTAACTTATATATGATATACAAATATAGACATAATCAAATAAAATATATAATATACATCATTGAGTTATATGTGCTACGTACTAGAGAAGCCATTCCGAACATTGACTATGTTCAACTGAACTGTAGTGCAATCCATACAAACTAAATATTGCGTAAATTGAAGATTTGTGAATTCCATAAAATAATAATTATTATATTTTATTTAGAAATATGTTTGTTTAGATTAAATTAAGATATTTTATTTTAAATTCTTATATTTTATATTAAAGTCTTCGCGCATGCGCAACTACTACTCCCGCGTATGCGCGAAGACATAGAGTAGGACACAATTTGTGTTCGGAATGGCTTCTCTAGTACGTAGTACATATAACTCTATGATATACATAATAAGAATATATATATAAACTTACTATGATGATTCTGCTAATTTATTAATTGTTCCCGAACCTTCATCTTGAATGCGTAGCGATTGCTAGCCGTCCTGATTTCGGGAGGTAGTGCGTTCCAAAGGAGAATAGATGGAATGTGGAAAGAAGAATGAACAAGTCCAGAACTATGGGAGGGACATAAGAGAAGAAGGTTGTTCGTAGAGCGGAGGTTTCTCTCACGACTAGCGCTAAGCAACTGAAAGTTAGGAGATAAGTAGGAAGGGGAAGTTGAAGACATCAGGATAGAATTAAGAGTGGTGAGTGGATACATGGTCATACTTTCGAAGATTGAAAATGAATCGAATGCAGTTATTCAGAAGACTTACTTAGACTTAGACAGAAGATACTTGTTGATAAGATCTGCATTCAGGTCGTAATAACACACACCGCCATAGTCGATTAGGGGAAAAATTACACTTTGCACAAGCATTGTCTTAATTGCAGATGGTAGAAAAATTTTTAGGTGATAGAGAGAACGAAAGGTACCGGTGACTTTCTGGCTAACGATCGTTGCTTGTCGGCTTAACCAATATCATTACGTCATATATAAAATACCAAGACTTGCGACGGGCAGCAGCGTCAAATATGTGACACGTATGAATTGCAATCATCAATGCACCTGTCAAGAGTGAATAGAGAATACAAAGGACGAGGCCTATATCCAGCAGCAGTGGAATGATAGAATAAGGCATAATTTTCAAATAAAACGAACTCTAAAATATTTATTTATTCTTTAATTAGTAACATTGTTTCTATGACTAGTCGTCGAGTTCTTCGCACTCCTCGACCATATCGCTGGGTGGCCCCGGTTGCTTCGGCGGTCCCCAGTTTAGATAGATGCTATCCGTGTACAAAGCCATACCTAAGGAGAACAGCCACCTGGTAGAAACCATTAGTTTATTATAATGTCGTATTGGAAACCTTTGGGGATTTGATAAATCTATTTTTACTAGGTGGCAAAGCACTTTTTCCGCCTAGGAATCTGTAAAAAAACAGCAGTGCATCCACTGCTGTGTTCCATTTTAAACGGTAAGAGCGATTCGCACATTATTCTATACAGCTCTGGATGCTCTGTCTCAGATAAATAAAGAAGACAAACAGAAATCCAAAATGGACGGAGCGCTGTTTCAAGTAAAGCCGATATCATGCTTAAATTCTTAACAAGCATTAACGCACACATCTTTCTTCTACTTATATATAATTTGAATCACAAAAAAAAAAAAACGTTTAGCAACGTTATTGTTCATTTCCATCGACAGCTCGAGTAAAGTCCAGCGCTTGATTTATGACTCGCTTTATTGCCACTTTTGAAGGTGAACTGGCAATACTAAAACTTTAATGGTTACTTTCTTTTGTATATTATACGGAATTTTAACATGCATTTATTAACTTGACGTGTACCTAACTCGTAAATAAGTAAGGATTTACGAGTAAGTATGAATGTAATGGAAATTTATAATTCAGTTTTCACCTGGTGAGTGGTGATGCAGTTGTTCATGGGAGGCGGTCGACACTTACTATCAGGTGAGCTGCATGCTCGTTTACCCTCTATAAAAAAATTACCCCCATATGTCTGATTAATTTAAAATTTTGTAGTAGTATTAAGAATCAACAACACAACCATCAGGTACAATTCAATAATTTAATGACCAGGATCTAGTATTACCACAGTACTAGGATTATCACAGTTCATGATCAATGCTTTTTGTTTATATTATTAAAATGTTATTTCGCTTTCAAACGTCACGAAACTTTACACACCTCTGGATAAACATTTTACAATAATCATTTTTAACAATGAAAACTACTAAGTCATTTCGAAAAGTGATCCGTGACCTTCGCCGAGAATAGCAAAAGTTAAAAATATATGTATTATATGTACATTTACTAACCAGAATATACCAAACATAAGATGCCTAGTGTACATTTTCTGCTTATTAGTGTACCAGGGCTCCCACGGAATGCAAGGGACGGGCAGTTCGTTCATGTGGGGTTCACATCGCACTGCTGGAAATGGGTTGGCAATTTATTAAATGACTTGTTCATAACGGCCATGCCTTTGTGATCTAAAATAGAAATGTCTATTTGTGCGGCATTTATAGAAAAGTGGTTGAAAAACTGCTATGAAGTATGAACTAATAACCAGAACATGTATTGTATTTATATTGATTGTGTGACTTTAAACAAAATTTACATTTTTATGTAGTCTCAGACCAATCATGAAATAAAGATGCAGCCCCGCTTACATTCCAAGTGATGCAAAAACCAAGACCTATTTAAAAACATGCATTCACGTGAAATTTTACGGACTGATAAATAAAGAAAGAAAAGAGAAGTGTGCGTGTTGAAATGTAGGCAGTGGTCCGTCTATCTTTCTTTGTTGGTCTGAGATAAAAGTATGTAAACTGATCCATTTTTTTCAAAATATTACATTAGAAATTATTATCTATATGTTTGTGGACGTTTTTAAATCCATAAAAAAGCACATGTACCTAGATTCGGATCTTGAATGTATCCGCAGCTCGTTAGTGGGCTAACGAACTACTATAAATAGTTATTGTCGATCCCGAGCTATTATCCAAACCGAAAATCCAACAATTTGTTTTTCTGCCCAAATCTTTGTAATATAGGTATGTCTAACTTTTTACACAGCCTAAATATTGGTACGGGTCGCCTCTTATTTATAAATAAGATTTGTTAAGTATAAATTGTAATCACCCATTGTAAAAGTCTGTCTGTCTGTGGTAGTCTCCATCTAAACGCAACGCGTGACGCGTCCTTATCATGACCCCTTTTTTGACAATTCAAAATCTCATAATTTGTATGTGTAAGTATTATTATCTATCTATACACCTATTTTAGATAAATCTGTAGCAGCCTTTGAGATTTTTTTTGGATACGCAAAGTCATCTTGAAAATATATTGCCTTAACGAGAAAATAGGATAGCTTCTTACCTTTCTCACTGCGACAGTACCTAGCAATAGTGCCTAGGTAAAGTTTTAAAATTATTATGTAGATAAAAAACTCAAAAACAAACTTGGTTTACTTGCCAGGTTTAGAAGTGTACTTTCTGGCGAGGAAAAGACCAACTAGGCGCTTTCGTATTGATAACATTTGTGTTCGCATCGTAAAACTAAGAATCCACAAGAAAATGTAAGAATTACTGTCATTCTATGATTCGGTTGCTAGGAAACTAAATATTTTTGTTTATTTTTATTGTATATTGGTACCAAAAAGTATACAATCACTACGTTTTAATAGGTACTTTATAACAATAAAAATAAGGTCACTTATAAAATAAAGTTAGATAGAATATCTATAAGAAACATAAAGGAACCTCCAAAGTTTCGCCTATATTCGGCGAATAGAAACGAACACATATGTAGAGGGCGTATTATGTTTTGCCTGTAATTATTAAATGAACTATATTTACCAACGCTCGTCGCACGACATAATTCATCCGTTATTCGTTGAGCTGCCGGTTTTCAAGCGCAATGCGAATCCTTTGAACTGTATACATAGACCAAACTAATAAAGTTGCGAATCATGAGTTCGCTAAAATAAAGGTACCCTCCACACGATCGACGTCAACCCGTTCAGTACCCAGTATATTGCTATATTCTGCCGTTCATTCCTTGGAGAAATAGCGCGTATAAATAAACGATTGTCATCTATGAGCAATTGTGTTAAATGCACGATATTGGAGACAAATACCTACGAATGTGCATTCGGTAGATATAGCTGAACGTCTGGCGGCGCTTTCACGCAATAAAAACTACAAATACAAATGATAAGTTGTGTGTGTTCAGCAGTGGACATTTCGTAGGCTGTAACGGTAACGATATACACATATTCATCATTTATATTACAGTATACAGCCTATCAAAATCCACTGATGAACACAGGCCTCCCCCCTCATAAAGGAGATATTTGCAATAGTTTTTTTTTTCAAAATAGATCACATGTGTAATTCTTATTGAAAGTCATTTTTTACTTTACCACTGGTTCAAAAAAGCTCTCTTTCCTGGGAAGAACTAGCAAGAAACCCAGTGGGACTTTTTTTTAAAGTAAATTTTACATTAATGGTTGTGTAAACTATTTACAAAATTTATTTTAGCAACTGCTTGGAAGCGACCACCTCATTCCCAGAGATTATTATCAACCATTTATATTATAACAACCCTATTTATACAGTTTCAGCTTAACAAAACATCTAAGCTTGATAATAGAAATAGTCTGTACACTTTCTAGGACCTTATATACTGTTACGAGCTTGGGGTTCTAGACAATTAAAAACAGCCGATTGAATTACCAAAATTGACACTTTAATTACACAACACTAATTACAATCTAAAACCACACTAATAATAAAACACAATTATACTACTGATCACTTTAGTTCGCAGTTATTTCGCTTCGAAGTATTCTTTTGTATCGCCAATTCAATACTGCTCGCTCGTTTTTTTTTTAGCGCCCAGAAGCAATTGGAAAGGGCTACCCCGTTAACGCGAGGAGGCGGTAAATGCTTTATGCATACCACGACAGCCGGTCTGTCGTGGTTATGCGGGACTCATTGTGACTAACCCAACTTTAACTCTAAGTGTTACCCCCTAAAAACCGCCTTTGGGGAATGGCAATGGCCTATGTAGCCTCTCTGCTAGATCGGAAGCGACCCTCTTTTGGGAAAAGAGGGCGCAGGCGGCTACGAGCCGCTGAGGGAGAGCCTACTAGGGCAAATTTAAGAAGAGTCGGCCTGAGCCGCCAGGCGGCAGTTCAGGTCGGTTGAAAGTTTATTTGGCGGGTCCGAGAGGGAGTTTCTCGGCCTGCGGACTCGATAGCGAGAGGTAAGTGGGGCTGCATAAGTAGCTGCCTCACGAATAAAAAGGTTAGAATGAGACTCTGAGGCTTTGAAAAAGTTCTCAGAGAGTGTTTTTAGAAATTATTGGATTGTAGGGAGCTCTAAGTCCCGATGGATGTCGGAGTTACGGACGTACCAAGGTGCGTTCGTAGCTCGACGACAGAAGAGATTTTGAACTATTTGGAGTTCATTAATAATTTTTGGGTCAGCGTGAGCAAATATAGGGCCCGCGTAGGACATAACTGGTCGTATACAAACCTTATAAAGGGTTCGCTTGTTCCGGAGGGACATTTTACTGTGTTGGCCCAGCATACTGTTGAGCCTACTCAGATAAAAACATGCGTGACGGGTTATTCTTTTGACATGGCGCCCGAAGGTGAGCCTCGTGTCAAGGGTGACGCCTAAATATTTGGCAGACGTATGCCAGGGGACAGGGGTCCCTAGCATACGTATTGATGGACTGTTTTTGAGTCGGCGTCGTTTATAATCGAAGTGAACGTCGAGCTCTTCTCCGGGTTCACATCGATGCGCCATTTTTGGAACCAAGCTCCTAGGTCACTAACTGACTTTTGGATCTTGTTCCGTATGAAAGGTAGCGAGGTACCTTTACAATAGAGGGCAGTGTCATCTGCGAAATGGGAGAGCTAAACACCATTCGACGGGATGGGAATGTCGTTAGTGAACAGAATGTACAGGAGAGGATACTATGAATGTATAGAAGGACGTACAAGACGATCAGGGAGACATATTTTGTACAGTTTATAGATTTTTTTTTATAGAATAGGGGGCAAACGAGCATGCGGCTCACCTGATGGTAAGTGACTACCGCCGCCCATGAACAACCGCAACACCAGGGGAATTGCAGATGCGTTGCCGGCCTTTTAGAAAGGTGTAAGCTCTTTTCTTGAAGGTTCCTAAGTCGTATCAGTTCGGAAAATTCGCTGGTGGTAATTGATTCCACAAAGAAGTTGTGCGAGGGAGAAAACTTCTTCTAAATCGCACAGTGGTGGACCGCCAATCATCCAGATGGTATGGATGGTAACGCGAGTTTTGTCGCGACGTGCGATGGTGAAATTGAGCGGCTGGAATTAGTCCGAACAATTCCTCAGAGCACTCCCCGTGATAGATGCGATAAAATACGCAAAGAGATGCAACATCTCTACGCAGTGCCAGTGTATCGAGCCGATCGGAAAGAACTCGGTCGTCGACGATTCGAATCGCTCTGCGCTGGATGCAGTCAAGTGGAATGTAGTACCTACCTAGTATCTATACGTATGTCTGGGTATAATCTAATATATAAAGTTAACAATACGTAATTACAGACAGTCTTACGTCAACACTCAAGTGTTTCATTTCCCTCGTCCTTACATGGCGACCCTGCCAGGCGGTGCGCTGCGGCAATGCCCGCGCACCGCCGGGCCTACTATTTAAAAGAAGAAAAATATTATAAGAAAAGTTAATTAAATAATGGACATTTTTAAGAAGATTGACAATTTAAAAAAAAATATATTAAAACGGAATGGACGCAATACCGGATGTGACGAAAAATAAACAAATATGAATACAAGAAGAGGCCACAATAATTATTTTATTGAAAGTGACTGAAAATTTAAAATATATAATATATAGTACAATGAAGACGAGTAACGAGGAAGGAGGAAAACAAATAGTGGATTTTTTATATCATGACCAAATACCAAAATTATTCAAGACACGGCAGATTAATTTAAAAAGAAAAGAAGCGGTTATAGTAATCTTGACGAGCTACGTCCAGAACCAGAAGAATGTGAAAATTGAGTCAAAAAAGAACAAAGAAGAAATTAAGAGTTATTAAACTGCATCAGTGAGTTTACAAGAAGAAAAATTGAGGTAAACTCGCACCAGCCTATTTTTTGTCATTTCTCTATAAGATTTCTTTAAAAAGTTTTAACTATTAAAAAAAAAAAAGTTATGTACTAAATATTCTGTATTTCATATATGCTTAAGTTGAAATTAATTATTAGATATTTTATATTAACGATTTATTTCTTATTTTATTATTGTTTTTAAAAAATCATATTACAATAATTATAAATTTAGGTTGCGTAAGTGCTTCAGTGGCATTTGTATTAAGGCACTAGACGATTTTATATTCCCTTTTATTCAGTAATTGATTTGCAAAAAGTTATTAAATAATATGAAAGATAAAATTTTTACGTACTTAATTTTACCAAATTTATTGTTAAAATAACAATGTGATACATTTCGTTGTTTTTTTTTCTGTAGTCTTTTAATATAAAATTATACAATTCATTCAACAATCTAATTCTACACATTCAACACCATATTTTTTATTATGTTGTAGACTATATAAAATAAAAAAGCACATAATGCATTTAATATTACATTTACGTTATTTACAAGTAACTTGAAAATATTTGTCACATTTTATAATATTTCTACTATATTCAAAAAAAAACAACAATATATTAAGCTACAGCTTACGATGAACTGGTTCGGATTAAAGCAAATATATTTTAAATCTAACCCAAATTTATTTCTGTAGTAAATTTTATTTAAATGTATATAATTTTGAAGGATTTAAAAAAAATCGCTACTAATAAAAGTCATAATTATTTTTCTTCTTTTCTAAAGGTATGAAAACCTTGAAACGATTTTAAAGTTATAAATAAATAAATATATATTCTTTAATAAATAACCTGAAAGTTAATATAACCTACTTAAAAATGAAAATCATTCTTCTCTTTGTTTAAATAAATTAATGTTTTGTTTATATAAACTGGGTAGCCGTTATAGTGACGACGACTTATGTTCCCATTATTATTTCTTTGTTTAATTTGAATATGAAATGCAATAATTTTTTTTTAACTTCGATTTTATATTTATTGAAATTTTAAATCATAAACTTTTAATTTTTATAATTCATTATTTCCTGGGAAAATGATAAAGTTTGGATTATTTAACTTATTTGTATACATAAGAAAATAATTTCTTCAATTCATTTATGTAAATTTTGTTGTGATCATTGTGAGCCTCATTCCCTAACTGAAAATGATGTACCTAAATACTACAAGAGACCATAATATAAGAGACTCATTTAATAAATTTGTAAAGACGTGAGTTAATTTAGGGCTACTATATTAAAGGCTAATATAATATAACTAAGAAATACGGAATTATAAATGAAAAATATTAATAGATTGTAGTTGTGAGAGTAAGGCAAGTAAAGAAAATTATCGGAGATTAGCATATCCACATACAATCGGCC